GTGTGTGTGTGTGTGTGTGTGTGTGTGTGTGCGTGTTTAATATTTGTATGTATGTATGTATATGTATATATATATATAACATCACTAGTTTACACCAATTACAAGTAAAATACTGGAGTCATAGCAGCCAAAGGGGTCACACAAAGTTGTCTATGAGCTTGTCTCTGTAAACAAACATCTGATTGCATAGCCAATGCTATGACAAATAAAAACGTGATCTGAATTCAAAGTATGTATTTCCTGCTAAGAATAATAGGGCCAAGTGGACCCAAGACAGCAGGTGTTATCACAGACTTAATGAGGTCTCTAGCAAACCCTCACAAACTCATTTTACAGGCACTTTCGAGCATCAGTATGTAGGCACTAATCAAACGTGAAGGTCTGATATACATATAATTGTTGAAAACCCTTTAACAGGACATCACTGCAAATTTTGCTGAATTTTCTCCACCAACTTACAGTGTATGAAACCATTAAGAAGCGAGACAGAACGAAAAAACATATGCATAGCTCTCAACAATCAATGGAATTTAATTACTCTAGTTTGACCAAAGTAGAAAGAGTTCAAATTTTTTTAATAATTACAAAAAGAAAATTTATTTTCTGCTTAATCTATTTGACTTGTATTTTTTTTCAAAAATTAAACAATTAGTATAGCCAAGTTTTATAATGTAATTTTGGAAACTGATTTAAGTAGTTAATTCAACACATATATAAATTTTACTTGCATTTAAAACATTACAGACCTGTTGAAGATATGAAATAAAGGATTTACACAACTACAATTTAATACTTAAAAAAAATACAAAATAAAACAGCTTTTGACTGTTTTAAAACTATTTTTGTCAGATCAATGTTTTATAGTTTTTTATATTTTGCACTTGAATATTAAGTAATGTTAAAATACAACCGTCATAATTTAGTTAGAAATCCAGGAAATGTAACCTTTTGAAAATAGAACAGTGCTCTACACCACATCGACTTCTGTAAGCAACAGGCTAATTTAGCATCTACAAGCTCTTGTCTAAAAAGTACACAGTTATATTTGTACTTTAAAAAAAATATATATATGTATGCATATCAAACAAATTACATTATGTTAAAATCCCAAGATGTCTTTAAAACTAATATGAAACAAAAATACTGTTCCTCAGACTCATCATAATACTTTACACTCATGTTTTATTACAAGTCACCATCATTTTAACTTAATCAATAAATCAATGATTTACTACAGGCAGTCTATGCAAGTTTCTAATAAATCTGAAGACTTGTATCAATATCTAACGTTCTAGTCTCTAAAGGATGTGTGTATATTATCTGTCAAAAAACAATTCAATTACATACATTAATCACATTTCTGAACTATATATCATTCCATATATTTTCACTTCTTCTGCATCAGAATAATTACTCTGTACTGTTTCCTAAACTAAACCCACTAACAGTATGTTTTCATGTAGCAACTAGTACAATAACTTTGTTTGCAATGAATCATTATGCATATATCCCCATTATTACTGGTTTATATCTTGCATCATAAAAATATCTCATATTTATCAACTCTACAAGGGTATATTGTAAAGAAAAAACATATCTGCATTTTAGAAAAGGATGCTTATAATGTTGTTCTCCAAACTGCATTCTGAGCTTCACAGACTAAAAACAATTCACTACTGTACACAGTACAAATTTAAAGTTTATTTCAGTACACTTCAGTATATAACACAATTCAATATCAGATTTAACTCTTAGAGGACTTTCTGTAAAAATTGCATTATTGTAATGTATGATAATATATCTAATACAAATTCTCTACTGTACATTGATGCAGAACTCTGACCCATCTATTATACATTTAGGTAGGTACATGCAGATGAAAAAGAAAACATAAGCACCAAAATTATTTATAGCACTTCTGATATCAGACTGAAATGCATATTAATTATTGAAGAGCAAGATGTGTTATTCTAGTTCTTTACAAAAAAGAAGCAGAAAAAAGCACATTTTTTTATTTTCTAAGCTTCAAAACAGAAAGACAGCCATATACTAATAAAAAACTTTTTTTGACTAGGGCTGGGTGATTTAATCAGTATAATCCACAACCCACAAACAATTATATCAATTAGTATAATGCAAAGTAACTGATTACTCAGAATTACGATTAAATTGATTAAGCAAAATTACTGCTTCAAATTATTTCAACAATCGATTAATATAAATTATGATTATATTAACTGTCACAAAAATAATCACTAATTGAAACTGGAATTTGCTTTTATCAATTGTTTGACTATTCCAACAATCAATTAATTGAAAATAATCAGTTAATCAAAATTACTTTTTGATTATCCCAAATATCCAAGTAATCAAAACAATACAACCAAACTTGCTTGCCCTGTCTTTGTTATGACACAGTTATTGAGGCCATCTACCATTGTCACTAATGTTTAACTTTTTATTACAAGGAAGACAACTGGCTTGTAGCTCCTGTCACTAACAGTTTTTTCCTTAGTTCTTACTGTGTTGGTGAAATGCTGACTAGAAGTAAGGCAAATTGTCTGGCAGCAACCACCACCAATTTTTTTATTTTGCTGGTGAAATGCTGACTAGAAGGAAGATATTCTTTGGCAACATCTGATTCCAAGCATGTTTTTATTTTTCTTATATTGTTAATGGTGATGAACTGCTTACTACAAGGAAAGCAGACTCTCTGGCAGTTCCACCAAGCTATTTTTTTTTAGATAAATGGGGTGGGGTGGGGGGGTGTTGATTAACAAATACTAATCTTTATTATTACTATCTCTTAATAATCAAATTTTATCATCAATTCAACTTCTTAGCGTTTTATCATATTCACAGATTTCAGAAACATTACGAGCTCCAAACAGATGTGATCAATTTGCCCTATCTGCTGTGTTCTTGCACATTCAATAACATGATTATACAACAAAATTGATGTGGAAATGATATATTTTCTATGACATATGATTTAATGTGCATTCACAAAATAATTATATAGGTTGCAGAAACACCATGTAGAAATATTTAATTAGATTTATATGTAGCTCTGCATTAAAAATTATTACAGAATATTCAATTACCACATTAAACATCCACTTTAAAGGTAAAATAACATTTAAAAAAGTAGTAATGTTAGTGTACAAGTTATCACTCTCAAAACCTTACATGAGAAGGAAAAAAAATCAAATATCAACTATTTTCAAAAACTTTGGAGCTTCCTTAGGCGTGGGGATGACTGCTGGGTACCTCCTAAAATTAACCTGCTACTTTCTAACTGATTTAAATTGAAAGCCATGCTGCTACAGAATATGTACACGTGGTTAAGTATATAGCATACAAGTACATTTGTTATTCTGGCTGTAACTATATATAACTCAAGTCTGTAGAAGAAGAAGAAGAAAAAAAACAGGGGAGGACATATTAGTCTGAATGTGTGTCTGGTTTGCTCTGAATTCTTCTGAAACCTTTGACCATCTATTGAACCTGTGTGTACTTAGCTAATAAAAATTAACACTGTCAGTACAAAAAATTATTACTGAAAGTAAATTTACATTATCTTTAAGTTAAAAAGTTTAACCAAAAGAAACTAACTCAACAGAGACAGAATGCCTTATTCTACAACCTATCTTGCAAGACCTCGTTTGTGAATTGCTTATTATTGATAAACTTAATGGCTTCCAGATACTGAAGTGCACTCTTAAAAGTACTTTAAATCTTCTTTGTAACATAAAACCAAGAGCAATAAAATTCTACAACACCTATAGGCACACACCCAAAAGTTAAACATAGCAGCTTCATGAACTATTGCTGAAACAACAACTCTAAGTTAGGCCTTACTAATATGTGTATCTAAAGTTTCACCTACACACAAATGAAAAATAATGGTCTAAAGTTAAAAGTTACAGTAAACCCAGTAAATATTCCTGTCTCAAAACTAGAAACTTGCATAACTTTATATTCACTCAGGAATACACTTCAACTTATAAATACATCTAACACACACACATGAAGTAAGATCTTAATACTATATAATCCATAAATAATTTATTTACAAAAAAAGAAAGAAAAACTAAACTTTTTTTTGGCAAAATTAATATAATTATTTCTACATCCACATTATACTTTTGTTTATAGAAAATTTCACTGTACATATGTTAAAAACAGAGAACTAATTCAATTGTAAGCCAATGATTGGAGATCCAAGGATAAAACTAAATCTTCATAAACTACATCAAACTACACAATCATTGTTGTTCTACTTAAATACAGCTGCATCATCTTTTTATTATAAGTTACTGAAAAAATATATATGGTATTATTCCTATATAAAAATTAAAACAAAAAAACATTAGTTCAATGAAGATATGCAAGACTTGTTTATGGAAATTGGTTTTAAAATAATTTACATATAATGAAATTTACTCTTATAATTCATAAGCAAAAATCTGGGGTTATAATTTTGCAAAAAGAAGCCTATTAGATGTGTTTGTACCCTTGATGACATAATACAAGATTTCCAGAAAGACAGATTAGGGTCTGGTTAAGAGTTGAGAGTCTTTAACAAGGTGATTAGGTTATAGAATGTGTTTGCTATCAGCAACAGTAAAGGTCGGCACCTTAGTAAAGTTTAAAAGGGAATTTTTAGTTTCCTCAAAAATATATAGTAGGTTTACATTTTACTTTTTCTTAGAGTGGAGATGCAAGGACTGTACTAAAGGACCAAACAGTTCCTTGCTGTCCATACCTAATGTTAAATCCAAATCTATAAATAAAAGGAGTACTATCTAAACAAATTATAATTGGTAAAATAAACTTATAAAACAACAGTTAAATAAAGTTACACAGTTTTGTTTCACATCCTTTGTTTTTTCAATCTGACTAATTTGGTAATTAACAACTTCAATTGCAAAACATATTTGTGAATTAACTAATTAGGAAGTGTTATTCCGTAACAAAAAATAATATTAAGTACATTAGGTTAGGATCTAGTTTTAAGTTAAATTTCTCTTCAAAGTTTAAGTTTATTGAGATTTACAGGATTTTAGAAGAAACTTATTTCTTTTAGTAAATCTCTAGAATTCTGAAGATTTCAAGAATTCTAGCTGTTCCCAATCTTCACATCTCTAGTCACTACCCTCTAAACCAGTGGTTCCCAAACTCTTTTAGTACAAGGCTCCCTTGATGTGAATAAAAAAAAAAGGTTGAGGCCCCCAATCTATAAGTTTAGCATGGTGATTGAAAAACAGTGCCATAATAAAAACAATAACATCTCCTTTCAAAATACTGTATCATTTAATTAATTCAACATACTTTTCATCGGCTTATTGTTTATTTAGAATTAAAATTAATTCAGCATCTTTGTTTTCAGCTTATTTTGTACCCCCCCCCCAAGAAAAAAGAAGTTTCGTGGCCCCCCAGGGGGGGAATGGCCCTCACTTTGGTAAACTGCTTTAAACTACAAGAATCCAAACATTTGTGACTGACTGAGAGAATATGCATCTGGAAAGGTTTGAAGAGTACAAAAGATGTTAGCATATGTTCTAGATGAAAAATTTCTTCAACACTTCTCAGGATTTAAAATCTTCAACTTTTACATTTGATATTAAAACAACATCTTGCAATTCAGAAGAGAAGAAAATTCAGGTATATTAACTTTAGAAAAATATAGACATACTAAATTATGTTTCTCAATTTTTATTAAGAGGTACCAATCTCCTATGGTAATGAAAGGCTTGAAATTTATACTTAACAATTCTTTGCAAAATTTATAGTACATCTTTTCACAATGCTAGTAAATGTGCACAATATTAATAATATAAAAACAAGTAATTGTGAAATATCTAAAAGAAATACAAAGTGAAACTTCTGATAATTGTTGGGAATAAAAATAATTTACATTTGACAGTCCTATTACTGTAGCATAGTTAAGAATGGTGAAATAAATATTAATGTTATACACAAAACCTGCTGACATTCTGAGCTACACAGATGTAGGTTCTTGAACAAACAAGCAATTTATCTTAGAACATCACTGTCTAAACTCAGAGTAAAATAACATGCAACATACTATTAAATATTTTAGTGTCTGTGTTATACAATTTAAAAACTGAAGACTATTATTAACCATACTGAAACAGAATGATGATGCGTAAATCAATTTTTGTGGACAGTACTAACTTGAATTTGAAAATGACAAATATTTAGAGTAGGTTATAGTAAACTTACAATAATGTAAAATATCTAATGTTTTAAAGTATATTTAGTATAACAGAGAGTGTTAGAAATAATACACATTTCAAAAAAATCAAGAACAAATTTAGTAAAGTTATGATAATGTAACTTATTACTGTTTCTAAAGACATGCCTTTGCATCCAACATGTGAACAATTACAGAACTGAACCAAACACATAGGTTATTCTTTCAAGTCACTATAATAACTTACAGTCCATAAATCAATGATTTCCTACAGATAGTCTATGCAAACTTCTAATAAATTTGAAGACCTGTATCAATACCATATGTTCTAATCTCTAAAATAAACTTCTTATAAGTATCATTTGATAAACCTTTTATTTTGTGTATCTTAACTTGCTCTAGTACTAGTATTACTAGAGCTATAGCTTACCCAGAATAATAGTTACAAGTTTTAACCTTTGAATTTAAGATGACAACCAAACTAAACATGCTAAGTACTAAACTATATTAATAAACACACACACAAACACTGAAATCTGTCCAGAGTTTTGGTAAACTAGCAATGCTCTCTTTAAAGTTTAAGTTTAAATTAAATATATACCAACATAATTCATAAAAATTCTAAAAAAAGTGACATTTTCAAATGTAAATAAGTATAACAATGTTATAACATTAATTAACGAAATTCATACATATCATACAATGGTACATCCAAACAGGTTCAGTGAATCTACAATTATTAAAGGGAATTTTGCTGTCAGTAACGTTGACATTTCACGATTATGTTATTATATCAAGGAATTCAGGCACCAAAAATGGCGGGAATAGGCTAGGGTGAAATATAGAACGTGGATAATTCATTTTAACTTTAAACACATTAACTTAAAAAGGGTGAATGTCCGCTATCTTAAAGCTTAAAATATTTACTATGAATTTCTTTAAACTTACCTCATTAAAGTTAGTTATGTTCAATTTACAAGTAATTTCAAAATTTGCACTGAATCATAAACACAAAAATCAGTTAACATTCGTGCCATAATCCAGCCTTTACTTTAGGCCTCAGTAGGCTTACGATGCGACGATCCCGAATATTGATGCTAGAAACCACGATTTCCGGCCATAGAGGTACAATCTGACTACGACACCGAGTGATAGCCGATGACAGAACCCGCTGAAAACAGTGAAAAAATTGATCAAGATATTTTGAACAGAAGTCGGGATTTAAAATAAGCAGGCTTGCGTTATTTATGAGTCAGTCTACATGTAAGTCTAGGTTTCATCCACTACATATTGTTTTTAATTATATTTAGAGACATGATTCATTAATTAAAATTTGAATGGATATACACCTAAAATGCGCCAAAACAAAATGGCTCGTATCGTTAATATGGCCGCTAACGATACGGCGATGGAATAACCATGTTGGGAGAATTTAGAAACAGCTTTTTCGTTGATATTATAATAAGTTGAGTTTTTCTAGAAATTTCCTATGAAAAATCTCAAAAAATGATATTTTTGCTGACAAAAACCACGAATTTCCACAAAGATATTTCTTCACTCTGGTCTTAATTTACTTACATTTCAGATAATTATGCTCATCCGTGTCAATATTCCATACAGATGCTGAGAATTTCTTCCACGAACGTTTATGAGTTACAAAGATATATTGTTATACCTTATTTGATTGGTTTATTGAATAAAATACTAACATCTGGTTGGTTATCAATCGCTAAATATGTCTCATTTTTTGTCGTAAAATAAAGGATTTGTGCTACCCTCTTTTGACGATTTTACAGACTCTTTTAAACAATAAAGATAGGCATTTAGATTTGCCCAAGTGCTTTGGATTTAGCTCATTTGTGAATAACATATTTAGATTTTTTCACAAAGTTTTTAACAAGCACAAGTAAATGGTAATATTTATAAATATTCCTGAGTGTTAATAATATTAAATATTGCATTTTATTACTACTTCTGACATCTGTCATTTTTTCAATGGGAAAATTTAAAAAGTTATTACATTTTATATTTCTGCTTTCAAGTGGCGCAGCGGAAACTCTGTGGACTTGTCACGCTAGAAACCGGGTTTCAATACCCGTGGTGGGCACAATACAGATAGCTCATTGTGTAGCTTTGTGTTTAACTACAAACAAACAATTCATATTCCAAATTACTTCATTTTAGTAAAGGAATTTTGGAGTGTAGTATTGTAAATGAAGATTATATAACTTGGTGTATGTTATACAAATCTACGAAACTATGTAAATATTGTTTTCAAAGTTGTTAAATTGTTGTTGATTGTTATAAGCTTGTGATATTTTCAGGTAAAACCGATTTCCTACAAGTATCAGATAAGCAATCCACAAATAACAGCATATTTAAGTTTAAAATAATGAGAGTGGACAAATTTGAGTAAATGAGCTAAATCTTTATTACAACACTATATGTGTGTGCCAACTTAGACGAAATGATAGACTGTGTTTAGTTTCGCAATTTTTTTTTCTTTAAAAATTAATCTCTGTAGAACAAACGCTGTTGTTCTTGAAAGAAGTTTTCACTTGACGATCTCCAAGTAGAAACCGGCTAATGGATAAAGAAGGCCCGCCTGAATTCAACAGTTAAACTAGCTAGCTTTTACAATGTAAAAATCACTTGATTGCTTGGAAAGCAAGATTCGCATAACTATATCAGTCATCAGTTTATCGACCAACAACTGTTCTAGCTTTTATAGTCGAGTGATCATTATGCAACGTAGTATATACATTATACTTCATAATACTATCTGATAGCTTGGAAAGCAAGGAATGCCATTTTCTTTCAGCTGGTAATATTTCATTCATCCTAGCTGTGATTATTGAGTGTCATTACAAGATGGCATCTAAATCTTCTGTCAGACTAAACTACTTGCTAGCTCGGAAAACAAGAATCACAACACCCTATTAGTCATTGGTTTTTCAATACAATAGCCACCATAGCTTCAATGATATCTCAACCAAGTGATTAGGTGGTCATTGTTGGCACCTCGGCTGACTCTTGCGGTTGTTTTGCTGCTCCTCCTCACAAACTACTTAATTTAGTGAGTCTCATACAGCAGGGTTGCATTGAATGGGCTAGCGCCAGGATCTCCACACGTTTCCAAGTGTCAGCTCCTAACCCTGAGGTTACAAATAATAGGCTACTAGATATGCCTCGTCTATGATTCCCACTGAACCATAAACTGCCTCACGACCTGTGGTGGCCTTATCGACTCACCTCTCATCTCAGGGTGGGTCTCTGCTGCTCCACAGGTCATCACCGTCTCCTGCAAATTCTCACTATCTCGCCTGTTGGCAAAACAGCTCACATTGGCACCTAACAACCAATGACACCTCGTGTCTGATTCACAGTTTGGTGACTGGTCACCACCATCTATGGAGAAGTTCAGTGCCATTTTGCCAAACACTGAGGGTTTCAAGAGGTCAGCAGACTGCCACAAGGTTCACGCGAAAAAAAGTATGTTATTATAGCAAATATTCTTTATGTCTTCTTTTTTTTCTACAACTGTTCATACTTATTCTGCTGTATAGTTTGTTTGGTACAGTACTCGCATGATATATGAAACACATATAAGGCTTTTTGTTTCTTAATGGGTTTCTAGAACTGTCCCTCTGTGGGCAAGAGGTAAAATAATGTATACAACGCTAAAATCCGGGGCTCGATTCCTCATGGTAGACGAAACGAAGATAGCCTATTGTGTAAATTTACCATCAAACAATCGAATAAAACTTTTAGCTTGCATATTATAAGAAAGTCGGGTTATTTTAATCTCAGTAATAGGGAAGGAGAGGCAAATAATTTACCTTTCACTTACCAACAGTTGCACTAACAACTGTAGACAACAACGATAAATAGGCAAATACAAACAATCACTACTTATGAAAGATATATTTAGCAGTCACACCTCATCAAAAAACACACAACTACAAATCGTTACTTAAGAAGCACCATGAATTGTCAGCCATGACCAAAATGTTAAGGCACTTATCGATCGCTAATGAGAACTTATGATTCATACAGCAATAAATACGAACAATTACTAAACACTGCCCTCATAGTTTGAATAAAGTACACAAACAGGTAGCAACAGTATACCAAGTTAAATTTAATTGCAAGAAAGACATCAGTCCAGAACAGTAAAACAAATATAACAATAAGAAACTACGGTTTAAATGTTTGTTTGTTTGATGTTAAGCACAAAGCTACACAATGGGATAAAATAAAGTATTATTAATATATTTTTCAAAACAGTATCTCTCAACAAGATTTTGCAAATTCCACAACGTAAAAAAAAATGCTAGAAAAAGTATATCAAATTAATATTTTTTTAACTCTAAACTAGATACTATTTAATCAATAAGTTTTTACTAAGATTCATACAATGTGGTTGACTATTTCCACTCTGAGAAGGAAAAACTCAAGGAATGTCAATGACAGCGCCTCTCCTGGTCCGGAAAAGAGTATTAGCACACATGAAAATAATTCTTAAAACGTGTTGTTAACTCTTTATATAAAACCATCTTCTGTAAAATAATGTGCGCAAATACATATGCATATACGTATAAGCATATATATTAAGGTTTTATTTGAAAATGAAGTTTGGTTTTGCCTACCCCCAATTAGGTAAAAGTCACGTGTCCTTAGTATTGTTGAGCGTTTTGTGAAGATAGTTTTTGAAAAGAACAAAAGCTGAAAATAATAAACACTGGAACAATGGTCGCCCTCATTCATTTAATCCTGGCCCCCAGTGGCACAGCGGTATGTCTGTGGACTTACAATGCTAGAAACCGGGTTTCGATACCCGTGGTGGGCAGAGCAGAGATAGCTTCAAATTTATTTATTTTTACTAAGCTTCGTTTTATACACGTTGTTTTTAGCTTTGCACAATGGCCTATCTGCCAGAGCCGGCCGTACGCAAAATTGTGGCCTGTACGAACTTTATATTCGGCGCCCCTGCCCCTGTAAAACTGACAAGAACTGCTAATTGTATGTCGATTCTTGCGTCCCTTGTGGTGGGCACCCTGTGCGGGGGCACATGTCGCCCACCCTAAAGGCCGACCCTGCTGTTTGCACTCTGTCCACCACATGGAATCGTACCCCTGAAGTTAGCGTTGTAAGTCTGTAAACTTACTGCTGACCTACTGGAGGACCCATTTTATATATAATATCAGTTTCAACGTGATTGGTAATCATTAACATATTTCTTTTGATACTTTAGTTTGCTGAATGCAGTAGTCACCAGTTCCGGCTTTAAATCGTAAAAAAAAAAAACACAATGAAAACTGACAAAAAATTATCGGTGACCTACGACCTGACCTGTCACAATTGTGTCAGATCGTGCTACGCATAAATATTTTTACTTAAAATATTATTGGTTACTCTCAATTTATATCTCATTTTCTTTTCAATAAATGTGTTTTTTTCACTCTCCATGCCCCCCAGTGACACAGCGGGATGTCTGCGGATTTACAACGCTAGAAACCGGGTTCCGATATACCTGTGGTGGGCAGAGCACAGATAGCCCTTGTGTAGCTTTGTGCATAATTAAAAACAAACACAAAAACAATTCACTTTCCATATTCCTCTTAATTTGTCCATTTTGGATTCAAAATCCGAGACGTGTAAAACTAGCATTTCAGAACTATGTTTTGTATCTTAAAAGTAACTCACTACCAAAGTTGGTCTTGGTGACGAGAGATAAAAGATTCTCCGAAATGCTATACGTATAGGCAGAACAAGCTACAGTTTAAACGCGCTGCCAAAACATTGCAAACCAATATTCCTATAATTTGTGATAAAAGTCATCAGCTTTCAGTACGTAAACCATAATAATCCAAACCATTATGTGGCAAAAGTTTGTATGCGTGTGTGTGTCCGCTTTTAACTGGCGAACAACTGGACGGATTGTCATCAAATCTGGCATATACCTTTATTGTTACATTGTGAGTGACACAGGGGTCGACGTTCGTATATGACCCTGTTATATTTCCAAGAGATCCACCTATGTCTTCCCCTTTGAACGGGTTTTTCAGGTTCAGATAGTATTCAATAAGTAAGGATTTAAGTCACATTTGAGTTTTCGTTTGTTTATTTTCTTCGTCTCTCATACTTTCTAAATTTATCTATCTAGGCTTACATAATGTTATAAAATAAAATTCCAATAGTTTCAAAGAAATATAATTAAAGATGAATAGGAACAAAAACGATTTTTAATATTTGTTTTATAGGAAAGCCATATTGGGCTATCTGCTGTGTCCACCGCGAAAAATCGGTCCCCGGATTTTAACTTTTTATGCCCGTAAACTTACCTTTGTCCTACCGGTAGACTATGTGTAAAGAAACTATAAAAAGATCTCAGAGCTGTGATTCGTTCCCAAGTCTTCTAAACTCCCCACTGTGCTTTTTAGCAGGAGTTACCTCTATTCACTATTCCAGTAAACTACAAACAAGATGTACCTCCGCAGGGTCCCCTAGAGTGTTCTGTTTCAAAAGTAAATAAAATCAAAATTGAGAGTAACAAATATTTTTATTTCTTGCTTTTGAAGTTCATATGTTGTTGTAGTTTATATAGTGCATAATTCTTCTCGTGATTCATGGAATGCGCACGTCTTACTGACGT